GCAGTAGTATTACTATATACTTTTTTGTATTGTGCAAAAATAAACAATAATTTAAATAAATAAGATATTTCATCTATTATTAGTTGTAATATAATAATTACCCCATATATTAATAATAAATTCATAAAATAACCAAAATGATTCTAATTTTGCTAATATTATTTTTTAAATTGAAACGATTAAATACATTTAAAAATATGTATTTACTTACACATTTAAAAACTTTTTAATATTCTACATATAGTACATTACTTAATTATTTAAAAAGAGTATTTAAAAAAAGTAACAATTATATAACAGTAATCTATACAACATGTTATTACAATATTATATTTACAAAAACACTTTATATATGTACTGAAATATTTAATTTTTATTAAACTATATTTTTTGTGTCGTAAATTTAAATTACTAATGTGCCTCTGGTGACTGTGATAAAAGGACTACCAATACCCAAAATTGCAGTAATGCCTGTAAAAAATTAGTAAGAAAATAAGAACTAAGTTTCTCTTAATGAAGAGAATTGAAGAGACCTTGCTCCTTTAAATGTATATAAAGATAAGATATTTATTTGTAAAAATGGATTTTAGTATTTTAAAATGTTTAAAATTTTAATATACTATTAATGGAATTTCATGAAATGATAAAATGTCCAGATAATATTATCTTAGAAGGGACAATAGAATAATTTTTTATTTTTTCAATCAGAATCAGAAGCAAATTACAAACAACAAATGTATCGAGAGAAACAGTGAAACTATGTTGCGGGAAATGTATAAACATATCTGCGACAAATTAATAATTGAGTTGTGATATATATACACCAATTATATAGTATATAGAAACCAAAGAAACTAACTCGTTTCCGTATTTAAACATAAATATATCTCATAAGTTAAGTTCACTATATGGTCTCAATGAGTTAATTAGATTATAATAGAATAGAAATGACTGTAATAATATGCTTATTAACACTTACCATATAGATTAATACTAAAATTCTTGCAAGAGGGTATCTTCTTAAAAACACTCCTGTACGAATGCTAATTGCATCTAATGAAGAATAAGCTCGTTTCACTCTCCTGGTAACGCCAGTATCAAAAGGAGTCTCCATTAAAAATGTAGGTACTTGAGCTTTCGCATCATCTGTATCATTTGCATTATAGGAAATATTACGTCGACTATTTCTATATTCGTGCTGTGAAAATAAATGCAACATACCTTTTAATACCAGTACTATTTATTTACGAACATGCGTTGACTTACTTCAATCTTTTCCAATTGCAATCTCAAAGCATTTCTTTCAGTAGTTAAACTTTCCAATGCCTGCTGCTTTGAAACTAACGTTTGCGTGAGAGTCGTCAATCTCGATTCCACCTCGCTATTTGGTGTTGATGTTGCAGATAATTGCATTCTAAGTCTAGCAATTTCAGACTCATTCTTTTGCAGTTGTGTAGTATAACCATTACGTTGTCGAATTAATTCGTCTTTTAAAGTTCTTATTTCCTAAAATAATATATAAATCACATACATTATAAACGCAAATAAAAATTATATCGAGCTCTTATCATTCTTAATTTAATTATAATAATAATCATGTAAATCATACACTCATAGATAATTATTACTCTACTTGTGAATGTAATCTTGCATCTTCTTCTACATCTAATCGTCGACGTCTCTCCGTTGTGAGAATTTCTTGAGTTTGCATATTTGCTTCAGCAGCTTTTTGCCTCATGTTTTCCAATTTAACGTCAGCATTCATCAACTCTTCTCGTACCATTCTCAATTGTTCGGACACTTGTTGATTTTCTTCTCTAAGCATATCACGCTCTTGTCTACGATTTAATGCAACATAATTTAAAAATAATTAAATACTTGGGATGTTGATATATATAATATATTCACCTCAACTGATTTAACTCCATAATCATTGTATCATCCACTCCTGTGGACTCATTACTTCTTAATTCTGCTATTAATTTTTCTTTTTCTTGCAATGTTTTTAGAGCTCTAGCTTTGTGTTGCTCTAAATCAGATCTAGTAGAATTTAATTCTGATCTACTTCTTTCTAAAGTAGACTGCAATTCTGCTACTTGCTTGGACAACTGTACTCTTTCTGTGTACAAGGACTGTAACTTTTCGTTCAATGCTAACATCTCTTTTTGATGATCCACTTCCTGTTTTCCCAGTAATTCATTCTTCTCATCTAAATTCCTTTCTACTTCTTTTAAATATTTTCTTATATGTTTATCATGAGATGAATTTGGTTTATTAATATGTGCTATTTCTGACCTCGATTCGTATTCATATTCTGCTGATGATATAGCATCAAACTGTTTATCAAGAACATTATGCTCTGAAATAAAGAATATTACAGACATAAAAATCTATTAAATTTATATAAATCGATTAAAACTAAAATTCTTAGTACCATGACTGATCATAATTCCAGAAATTTGTTCTCCTATTATTCCATTATGTAATTTATGTGTTATATCAGTTTTATAAAGATTCTCATTTCTTGAATTTACATCATTGTCATCTGGAACATCCACTGATGTATGCATAAGACTCGGACTTGAATGACCACTATGAATTGATAATTCTGACACTGAATCGGTAGTATCAGTTGGATGTTCCACCATCAGAGATGAAGGTGTTGGTGGTGATACTGATATCTCTGCCACAGTTCTTTTCGGACTTGAATCAATTGTATTTAAAAAGGTAACAAATTCTTCATCTTTAGATCCAATAGAATTTGTAGCTAATGAAGAAAGACTTGGTACTGAGCGAATGGAAGGAAATTGCTTTGGTGATTCTGAAGGAGATTTCACAATCGTGCCTTCCTGTGTCTTAGGACTAAAAGTAAAATCTGCTTTAGTATTATAATTAAATAATTAATATATACAGGTTATTGTTTTATTTTTTTTTTAAACATAACATGATCTTATTTGTATCCAAAGTAACATTTAATTAGTTTATAAAAATAAATGCGCACAAATGACGAATATTTAATAGCTTTTTTTACCGTAATTCAGGTGGAGTCCATGTAACTTCTGTTAGTTGAGATTGTGATATTTCATATTTATCCTTATTTAAAACTGCTGCTGTATTTTTATCTATTTTATTTAAAAGATTTTCTGCCTTGTCAGCGAGACCTGACAACCAGGCCATCGTCACGAAAAATTAACACAGAAACTTATTACACATGTGATGACGTTTAACAGTTGACAAAATTCATGAATCCTCAAATCACACTATCCTAACCTAAAACAGTATACATCTAACGTTTATGTATAAAAGATATTGTTAAAATTTATTTCAACGAATATTTATCAATGTCCTTATAAAAATTCTTGATGTAAGTGCTTACCAACAATATTATAACACCTTAGAACAATGAATAATTATATTAAATAAATATATGAATACATTCGCACATACAGTTACTCTCACTAAAAAACGTAGTTAAGTATCTACACGATACATCGAAACAAATGCTGAATTTATACGTATGA